ACCCTCAAGTTAAACTTAACATTAGCAACGCTTTCACTGCTGCTGAGCTCAATCTGCTGAGCTCAATCTGGCCAAACAATCTTGCCCCATGAACACTCTGCGGCAGAAATATCCCCACCTGAGTGACGTCCCATTTAAGGCATTTAAAGATGTACAGCCAATGCTCCTTATTGGCTCAGATAATGCACATCTCATTACGCCTCTGTCACCAGTTAAGGCCGGCCCACTAGGTACACCTGTGGCTGTGAACACTCAGCTGGGCTGGGCCATACAGGGTCCTGCCACATTCCTGCATGCACCCACTGAGGCTGCATGTCTGCACACATCAGTGCTACCATCCCCGGCTCAGGTGTTGAGACACAATGTAGAGAGGTTATGGCAGTTAGATGTACTTCCCTTTCGTTCAGATAAGGAAGCCAGCCGATCTAAACAAGACAAAGAGGCTCTTCAGTTATTACAGACTCAGACCGAGCGGGTGGAAGTAGATGGAGTGTTGCGTTATGCTACTCCTCTGCTCCGACGCAAAAATGCCCCTAAACTACAAGCTGGCCCTGAGTCAGTTATGGCACTGCTGAGGTCCACAGAAAGGCGCCTGAGTAAAGACCCTGATTTAGCAGCTGTTTACACTGCAGAAATACACAAACTAGAACAGTCAGGCTATGCTAGAAAGCTAACACCAAGTGAGGCAAGCAGCACTGACGAGTCCTGGTTTATCCCTCATCATATTGTGCACCATAACAGCAAGCCCAGGGTAGTTTTTAACTGTTCATTCAACTACCGGCAGCACTGTCTTAACGACCAGCTGTTACCAGGCCCAACACTAGGTCCCACTCTGATAGGTGTGCTGTTAAGATTTAGGGAGTACCCTGTTGCAGTCAGTGGGGACATTCGTGGGATGTTCCACCAGGTGCGGCTCCTCCCAAAAGACATGCCACTCTTGAGATTCATCTGGAGAGACATGGAGAAGGAGCGCAGCCCGGACATTTATGAGTGGTGTGTGCTGCCCTTCGGGACTACCTGTAGCCCCTGCTGCGCCACATATGCCCTGCAGCGCCACGTGCAGGACCATAAAGAGGGCAATGAGCAGGTACTGGACTGTCTTTTGGGCTCATACTACGTCAATAATTGCCTGCGGTCCCTGCCCTTTCCATCTCAGGCACGACCCCTCATTGACAACACCAGAGCACTGTTAGCGACAGGTGGTTTTGAGGTCAGGCAGTGGGCTAGTAACTTTCCTGAAGCCATAGCACACCTTTCCACAGACGCGAGGTCACCCACTTGTGAGCTGTGGCTAACCGCTCACAAACCAGATCCACAAGAGCCAACCCTCGGGCTGGCCTGGCACTGCTCGTCCGACCACATCAGCTACAGATGCCGCCCAGTCACTCCTCATGAGCCAACAATGAGGAACATCTATAGCATCCTCGCCTCACAATACGACCCACTCGGCTTCATTGCCCCTTTCACCACGCGTGCCAAGCTCATCGTGCAGCTGCTGTGGCAGAAGGAGAGACACTGGGACGAGCCAATTGAGGGTGAACCGCTAAGACTATGGCATGATTGGGTGAGTGAGTTGCAGTATCTCCCAGACATTTGCATGCCCAGATGTTACACAACTCCAGAGACATGCAACGGAACTGTACAGCTGCATGTATTCTGCGACGCATCTGAGCGGGCCTATGGAGCAGTGGCCTACCTGAGATTCGAGTCAGCAGAACATGAGGTGCACACTGCTTTTGCCATGGCCCGGTCACGAGTGGCACCGAAAAGACAACTGTCAATCCCCCGCCTAGAGCTATGTGCAGCGCTGGCAGGGGCACAGTTATCCAAGCTCCTCCTCTGTGAGCTTACTCTCCCAGTCCACGACACCACTTTGTGGACAGACTCTACCACTGTTCTTAACTGGATCCAGTCGGAGTCCTGTCAATACAAAGTTTTTTGTAGGCACCCCCGTTGCAGAACTCCAGGAGCTCACAGAGGGCGCCAGCTGGAGACATGTACCCTCTCCTCTGAACCCAGCAGACGACATCACCCGGGGGAAAACGCTGCTGGAGCTGTCTACACCAGGCCAATGGAGGGACGGTCCATCCTTTCTCAGACAATCCCCTGTACACTGGCCCGACCAGCCGGCTGCGTGTAATGACTCTACCGATAATGGTGAACTAAAGAAATCTGCTCTTTGTGCCAATGTTTCAGTTTGCCTCACGCAGTCTGACCCTGCAGCGTATGACTCCTGGTCTGAGCTGGTTCAGACAACTTACCTGTCCTCTCACGGGACGGCAACCCCACCCATGTCTGCAGTCCAGCGTATAGAGACAGAGATCCAGCTGCTCAAACAGGCACAGCTGGACAGTTTCCCAGCAGAGGTAAACTCACTCACAGCTGGAAATGATGTGTGCTCGGACAGTAAACTCAGCAATCTGTCCCCTGAGTATGACACCCAGCTGGGCCTGATCAGAGTAGGGGGCCGCCTCCGCAGAGCAGAAAGTATTGATATTGACACATTGCATCCGATCGTCTTGTCACCAGGGCACCCCACAACTCAGCTCATTATTAAAGATTTTGACACTCGCCTCATGCATCCAGGCCCTGAGCGTGTTTTTGCCGAACTTAGGCGCACGTACTGGGTTTTAAAGGGCAGGCAAGCAGTGAGGAAACATCAACATCACTGTGCTGAGTGCAAAAGGTGGAGAGCTAACCCGGTCACTCCCAAAATGTCAGACCTCCCTGCCAGTAGGCTGCGCTTGCAGCAGCCTCCATTCTGGTCCACTGGGGTCGACTGTTTTGGGCCATTCACCATAAAGATAGGCAGGAGACAAGAAAAACGCTGGGGCATTATTTTTAAATGTCTCACTACCCGCTGCGTGCACCTGGATCTACTTAGTAGTATGGACACGGACTCTTTCCTCATGTCTCTGCGCCGTTTCATTGCGCGTAGGGGAAAGCCCTTTGAAATACTGAGCGACCAGGGCACAAACTTCAGAGGAGGCGACAGGGAGCTACAAGCGGCATTTAAAGCCATGGAACCACAACTGCAGGAGAAGCTGAGTGAGCAGAGCATCACTTTCCACTTCAACCCCCCACATGCTCCACATTTTGGGGGAGCCTGGGAGCGGGAGATCCGCTCTGTCAAATCTTCACTCCAGGTAGTTCTTCAGGGTCAAAGTGTTTCCGAGGACTTGTTGCACACTGTTCTCCTTGAAGTGGAGGGGATACTTAATTCTAAACCGCTTGGATATGTGTCCTCTGACATTGCAGACGTTGACCCCGTCACTCCAAACATGTTGCTCATGGGGCGGCGTGACGCTTCTCTGCCTCAAGCTGTGTACGGCACGAGAGAACAGCTAGGGAGACGGAAGTGGCGCCACAGTCAGGTGATTGCCGACCACTTCTGGACTCAGTTTACTCAGCGGTACCTACCTGCACTTCAGCACCGCCAGAAGTGGCAAAAGACTGTTTCACCCCTGACAATCGGACAAATTGTCATGGTGGTGGACTTCCAGCTTCCGCGTGCACTCTGGCCTGTGGGTAAGGTCACACAGGTTTTCCCCAGTTCAGACGGACAGGTCAGAGTGGCTGAAGTAACTATAGGGGAGCACACTTACCGACGCCCAGTGGCTAAACTTATCGCACTACCAGCTATGCCTTTGGACGGCAATTAACTGTAACCACGTGGGTTTCAGGGTTTGCTAATGTGCTGCTCACATTAGGGGGCGGCTGTATAAAACCCCCTGTGGTCAGTTTCACTTGAACTGCTCCACGGCCCCCCTGCTAATGGGACATTCCATTCTACCTGGGCATGTCTTAACTTGTTCAGTTCAGTGTTGCCGATGTTGTTGCTTAGAGCATGTGCCGTGCTTGTGTGCGTCAATTACGAGTAAGTAATACTGCAATTGGAATGTTAGAAGCTATATTTCTCATACCTGGTATTGTATATATGTGTATTGCCCATATAAATGTTAAGTTCTGTTAGTAGTTTCAGCCACGAGGCACCTTACTGACACGTGGTCAGCTTAGTAAGACATTTCAAAGTGTTACATGTGTTAAATATTAGTTACATATTATTTGTGTGCCTTAAAATGCATATCGTGATGTTCACTTTGCACATTTGCCTAGTTTGGCGTTGAGTAAAGTTTTCCCTTTGTTCCTAAGTGCAATTACCTTGCCGTGCGCTAGAGGCGCTGTTTGGCACAGCCATAGTCCTGCCCCTACTCATTAACATTCATATCACCTCCATTATAGACTTGTAGCTCTAAGCGTGCAGTACATTTTTAAGACCACCAGGTTGCGCCATAATCCCCAGATCATATCGTTCCTTCTGTATAATGACCACCCTGTAACTTGTTTGTATTTACTGTATGCCTGGGCCTAATTGTTTGTTCTGTTGTTTTACAGAAAACCACACACACACACACCTCACCCATGTACAATAAAGTGTTCAGTTTGAAATAAACTCGGAAACATAAAGGCTTGGACATTCCCTTCATCACCAGTCTCCAAAATTCCTTCTGACAGAGGAGAGGACGAGCTGCCAACCACCAGTATTTTAAGCACGCACATGTCCTAAATAGAGAGAGACCAGAGAGGGACCAGAGAGAGACCAGAGAGAGACCAGAGAGAGACCAGAGAGAGACCAGAGAGAAATCAGATAGATCAGAGACCAGAGAGACCGGGGAGAAACTAGCGAGAGACCAGAAAGAGACCAGAGAACAGAGAGAGACTGGACACCAGAGATATCAGAGACCAGAGAAAGGCCGGAGGGAGATTAGAGAAAGACCAGAGAAAGAGAGATACCAGAAGGAGACCAGAGAGCAGAGAAAGAGCAGAGCGAGACAAGAGAGACAACATCAACCCTCTTTTAATGAGTACTGGGGCCTAAGTTAAATATATATTAGAGAGAAAAGAAAACCATCTGCTCTACATCTGATTATTATTGCAGCACAAACTTAAATATATTGTGACTTGTGCTCAATACGTTAAAGTTACAGTTAGAGTCTGACCTTTGTGCCATTCCAGTCCATACTCTCCTCCTCCTCGGATGTTGGCCACAGCTAACACTCCTCCCAGGTGCTGCACGAACACCAGGTAGGCCACACTGAGGAGACACCAGAGAGACTTAAAACAGAAGCCAGACTGAGGAGACACCAGAGAGACTGTAACAGGAGAAACTTCAAGCCAGTCCCAAATTCAGAACCTTGCTCCCAGAACACATGAATTATGATTTCCCTCAAAAGAAAGTGGCCTCCAATAGGGAAGTGAATAATGTATTGTCCAAAGAAATGTACAATCCCTAATTTGCAGCAACCGTGTTCCATGTCACGCACAACATCAATGTGTCTGATTTCACCCCAGTCCAATAGATGGCGGTAATAAATATTTCTTCAAAAAGGGCAATAACACTGTACCGAAGTACTGCTCTTCCGAGTCCAACCATGATATGGCTGTATCAAGGTGTATGGTTCCTCACTTTAAGTATGGTTCATGGTTGTGTGTGGTTCCTCTGTTTCCTTACTTATAGTACTGTTGTATCATGGCTGTAGGTGTCTGGTTCTTCTGGTTACTCACTTATAGTATGGTTGTATCGCGGCTTCAAAGCCTCCGTATCCATAGAGAAAGACCGGGTTAGAGCCATCCTTCTGCAGATTTTTGGAGTGAACCAGAAACATGGGGATCTCTGTGCCATCTTTACTGCTGTAGAAGACCTGGAGGTGTCAAAGGAGCATGAGAAACAAGGGAGAGAGAGACCAGAGAGAGCAGGGAGTGACCAGAGAGCAGGGAGAGAGCAGGGAGTGACCAGTGAGCAGGGAGAGAGCAGGGAGTGACCAGAGAGCAGGGAGAGAGCAGAGAGCAGGGAGTGACCAGAGAGCAGGGAGAGAGCAGGGAGTGACCAGAGAGCAGGGAGAGAGCAGGGAGAGAGCAGGGAGAGAGCAGGGAAAGAGCAGGGAGTGACCAGAGAGCAGGGAGAGAGCAGGGAGTGACCCGAGAGCAGGGAGTGACCAGTGAGCAGGAAGAGAGTAGAGAGCAGGGAGAGAGCAGAGAGCAGGGAGAGAGCAGGGAGCAGGGAGAGAGCAGGGAGAGAGCAGGGAGAGAGCAGGGAGTGACCCGAGAGCAGGGAGAGAGCAGGGAGTGACCAGAGAGCAGGGAGTGACCCGAGAGCAGGGAGTGACCAGTGAGCAGGGAGAGAGCAGAGAGCAGGGAGAGACCAGAGAGCGCAGGGAGTGACCAGACAGCAGTGAGTGACCAAATAGAGACCTGAGAGAGAGAGAGAATAGAAGCTGAGATGACCTGTGAAGTCTGGTACTCCTCCTCTCTGAAGCCCTTCACCTCCACTTGTCTGAACACTTGTGGTTCTGCATCTGAATCCTTCAGGTCACAGTGATAAATAATGCCTGAAACAATGACAGAAAATACTGAAGAACCACCAAGATCTCAGGAGTCGTTTATAATTTGACATAATTTATAATCTTCTAACCCTGTTTTGTACGGGGTCCTTGTGCGACTTCTACCACTGCTACTTTACAAACTGTTCATTTCTTATTTCTATATTTCGTAGCTTATTTATCGTTTTATTTTGCAAATGTTTTTAATTAAAAATGTTTCCTGATTGTTACTACTATAACACTCAAAGACGCATCCAAAAAAAGACACCAGAGAGAGAAACCAGAGACCAGAGACCAGAGAGAGGGACTGGAGATAGACTAGAGTGAGAGCTGAGACAGAGAAAAGAGATAGATACTATAGCGCAAGACTAGAGGCACCAGAGATGGAGACTAGAGAGAGACCAGAGAGAGAGACTAGAAAGAGAGACCAGAGAAAGACCAGAGGAGGTAGAAGGTCCACATGTTCTTCAGACCTGGAGTGGTGTAGGAGGTGAACTTGTAGAAGATCTCAGAGTATTTCTTTTTGCCGCTGATTCCAGAGACAGTGCCCACGCCCAGAGGCAGCTCCCGCTCCAGGAGCCCAGTCTGCAGGCAGAACAGCCGCAGAACGTCCTTCACGTCGTGGATGTATGTGACCAGCAGGTGGCACTTGTTCACACAGACCACTGAGCCTGAGCACAGGAACAAGTCTTTAGCCATCAGGTCACTGGGTTAAAGCCGAGTTTCTGAATTTTTAAAACCACAAAGAATCTGTCTTCTCACTACATTTCCTCGTTCTCAAAACACTTTAATTTAGATTGGCTTTTCAGACAGAAAAGTTAAATAAACAGAAAGACCACAGAGATGAGAGAGAACAGAGACCAGAGAGTTGAGAGAGAGAGACCAGAGAGATATACAAGAGACAGACAAGAGAAAGACAAAATAGAGAAAACTGACAATTGCCACTTCCAATATTCTTTCAATATTCTCCCAGTTAGTTACATAGATGAAAACACATTGTATTATTTTTACACTATTTGAATACAAATTTAATTTGTTTGAATGATCTCTCATGTATCTTTTCAGTGGGGGCTGCAGTGAGTACAGAACAGAATGCAGTACCAGGTTGGAACCAGCAGATGGCAGTATTCTCTCAGAGGGTGAGTACAGTGAAGCTCAGTAACAGTAACACAAGCAGGTGAGTCAAGTTAATTTACATAAGCACCTTTCACACCCCTGAAAATCAAAGTATAGGTTTAATCATGTTTTGGTATTCTATTGATCAGTAATAGAAGCAAAAACATTCTCTGCTCTCTCTCTGCTATCTCCCTCTGATTTCTCTCTCTGGTCTCCCTCTAGTCTCTGGTCTCCCTCTAGTCTCTGGTCTCCCTCTAGTCTCTGGTCTCCCTCTAGTCTCTGCTCTCCCTCTAGTCTCTGCTCTCCCTCTAGTCTCTGCTCTCCCTCTAGTCTCTGCTCTCCCTCTAGTCTCTGCTCTCCCTCTAGTCTCTGCTCTCCCTCTAGTCTCTGCTCTCCCTCTAGTCTCTGCTCTCCCTCTAGTCTCTGCTCTCCCTCTAGTCTCTGCTCTCCCTCTAGTCTCTGCTCTCCCTCTAGTCTCTGCTCTCCCTCTAGTCTCTGCTCTCCCTCTAGTCTCTGCTCTCCCTCTAGTCTCTGCTCTCCCTCTAGTCTCTGCTCTCCCTCTAGTCTCTGCTCTCCCTCTAGTCTCTGCTCTCCCTCTAGTCTCTGCTCTCCCTCTAGTCTCTGCTCTCCCTCTAGTCTCTGCTCTCCCTCTAGTCTCTGGTCTCCCTCTAGTCCAGGCATGTCAAAGTCAAATACATCAGAGGGCCAAAAAAAAAAGTTTGCTACGCGCCGAGGGCCGGACTGGTTCAATGTTTCTCAACATCCAGAGGCAGTGCTGGTGACACCTGTTGGCTCGATAAAATATGCTCTAAAGCCAATCCTCATACTGTACATATTAGATGTAATAGACAAAAAAAAATAGTGAAATGTAAAAGAGCAGTCTGGACCTCTTTTTGGGGCGTTTTTTGATTAAATCTGCAGAATGGATTATACTTTGGGAAATACAAGTGGATGTTCTTCTTCAATGAACAGTTACGGAGAGAAAGAGACTAAGCAAGGATGGGGAAAGTCTAATTTGTTGGAGCAGCAGAAGACGAAAGGTAACAAACAAATACAGACGTGATTTATTTTGTGCCCATATTATGCGTTATATCTTTTTAATGCAAAGTCTGATATTGTTTACACTTACATATAAATATAGCTGAGAAAATAAGCTTTAAAATGATATATAGCTTGTGGATTATGAAGTTCAAAATACATCTGCTATCGCCAGCAGATGTATTTTTTTCCTCGTTTGCTTAAGGGGTCAATACATTGCCTCAATGGCAGGCAATGTCCCGGGGGCCATAGATAATTCATTCGCGGGCCGGATTTGGCCCGCGGGCCTTGACTTTGACGCATGTGCTCTAGTCTCTGGTCTCCCTCTAGTCTCTGCTCTCCCTCTAGTCTCTGCTCTCCCTCTAGTCTCTGCTCTCCCTCTAGTCTCTGCTCTCCCTCTAGTCTCTGCTCTCCCTCTAGTAAGTAAGTTAGTAAGTTTTTATTTATATACCGCCTTTTTACTGCAGATCTGAGTCTCAAAGCGGTTTACAATTGTTAATTTTTGGGCATTTGTCTCTCACTCCACACAGAGATGGGAGCGGGGTCGCCAGTACAGGAGGCGCATGCCAGAACTATTGGACATATTTTTAGTAGTAGGGGAAACCGGAGTACCCGGAGGAAACCTACGCAGACACGGGGAGAACATGCAAACTCCACTCAGAAAGGCCCTGGTCCGGCCGGGATTCGAACCCAGGACCTTCTTGCTGAGAGGCGAGAGTGCTATCCACTCAGCCACCGTGCCACCAGTCTCTGGTCTCCCTCTAGTCTCTGGTCTCTCTCTGGTCTCTCTCTGGTCTCTCTCTGGTCTCTCTCTGGTCTCTCTCTGGTCTCTCTCTGGTCTCTCTCTGGTCTCTCTCTGGTCTCTCTCTGGTCTCTCTCTGGTCTCTCTCTGGTCTCTCTCTGGTCTCTCTCTGGTCTCTCTCTGGTCTCTCTCTGGTCTCTCTCTGGTCTCTCTCTGGTCTCTCTCTGGTCTCTCTCTGGTCTCTCTCTGGTCTCCCTCTGGTCTCCCTCTGGTCTCCCTCTGGTCTCCCTCTGGTCTCCCTCTGGTCTCCTGCTCACTCTCTCTGGTCTGTATGAACTAAAACTGTCTTCATGAGTAAAAGAGCAGAATCCTACTGAGGACGTCCTTGTGGTGTTGTGGGAGCAGGGTTGTCCACTGGTCTCTCTCTGGTTTGGAGATGTCGATGTTGATGAGACAGTATCGCGGAGACTCCAGGTTCGAATGAAACGTAAACACGGTTCCTTCGTTTGTGACGTACGAAAACTGGGCTTCGAAAGTGTCCACAAGTTTGACCCAAGGAAGCAAACCTGAGGAGAACATCATGTGAGAGACCAGAGAGAGAACAAAGAGAAAAGAGAGAGAATAAAAGAGGGGCCAGAGAGAGGCCAGAGACCAGAGAAACCAGAGAGCAGTGAGTAGAGACAGGGGAAAGAGCAGAGAGAGACTAGAGAGACACCAGAAAGAGAGAGAGAGAGCAGAGAGAGACCAGACAGAGAGCAGAGTGGGACCAGTGGGACCAGAAAGACCTGAGAGAGATCAGAGAGACCAGAAAGACACCTGAGAGAGAGCAGAGCAAGAGACCAGAGAGAGACTAGAGAGAGCAACCACACCGAGACCAAAGAGAGAAACGCCAGAATGAGACCAGAGGAAGAGAGAGAGACCAGAGAGGTTCTCTGACCTGTGATACCGTTGGGCAGCTGCTGCAGGTCACAGTACCAGAGACGGTTCACAGGTTCACATCCTTCAGTGATGGACAGAACTGCGTATCTGCCATCGTCTGAGACCTGAGGAACACACACAGATAGTGTTAGCTTCATACAGTAGCACAGTGGGCTGCACGGTGGCTGAGTGGATAGCACTCTCGCTTCTCAGCAAGAAGGTCCTGGGTTCGAATCCCGGGTTGGAACAGGGCCTTTCTGAGTGGAGTTTGCATGTTCTCCCCGTGTCTGCGTAGGTTTCCTCCGGGTGCTCCGGTTTCCCCTACCACTAAAAAAATGTACAATAGATTCTGGCATGCGCCTCCTGAACTGGCAACCTCGCTCCCATCTATGTGTGGAGTGAGGCAAATGCCCACAATTGTAAACCGCTTTGTGACTCTGGTCTGTGAAAAGCGGTATATTTAAATAAAGATTACTTACTTACTTACAGTAACAGGGGCCAACCTGTTGCCAAGATTAATTATCTTTTAATATTTTTTCTTTCTTTTTTGACCTGTTGAATCCAAAAACAGACTGAACCAGAGGATGGGGGAGCAGGGAACAGAAAACAGGAGACTTTTAACTGTTACATAATCTTAAAGCTAAGTCTCACATCTCCTCACTCCCACTGTCAAATCCAAGCACCGAACCTTGGGGGACCGAGCTTTCGCCATCTCTGCTCCCACTCTCTGGAACTCCCTCCCCCTCCATCTCAGAAACTCGGACTCTCTAAACTCCTTCAAAAAACAGCTCAAAACTCACCTTTTCCTCCGAGCATTTGACTCTTAGTTTAAACTCTCTACCCTTCTTCCTCACTCTTAGATTTTTAGTTTGTGTGTCTGTCTAAACGTGTGTGTTTGTGTCATGAATTTGTGAAGCGTCTTTGAGTTCTTGAAAAGCGCTATATAAAACTGATGTATTATTATTATTATTATTATTAAGTGGAGAGAAAGAGTTGCTTTCTGGAGCCTGAGGTTCTGATTAGGGATGTAAATCGGTGACAACCGGTGGTTGACCGTCACAGCGTTAACCGGTCAAAGCTGTCGGTTAAAAAAAGAAAAGAGGGAGAGGAGAGGTCTATTAATAACGCTATTTTAAGCCCTATTTGCATGATGTGACGAGCGGGTCCGTCTCTAGCTGTGTGCGCCAATGTATTAGTAAACTCCGAGCCGACTATCATGCCGCACGCGCCACATATGCACACGCGTGAGCGCACACCGACACACACACACATTTCCCTCCCTCCATTGATACGTAACATCCACACGCATCATCTCTCCCCTCTGACTAGTCCGCCAAAGTTGCACACTGGTGCGGGTCAGAACTACATTGGAGTTTATATTTACACACACATACATTAATGTACACACATACATGTACAGTAGGGCTGGGATAAACGATTATTTTTTAAACAGTTAATCTAGCGATTATTTTTTTGATGCATCGATTAATCTAACGATTATTTTTTTCGCTTCGCTTCGATTTAGATTCGATTCGATTCTCGATTATCTCCCCATTAATTGACTAATATTGATGTATATATGTTGATTTAAATATTTTAATGAAAAAAACATGAATTCCTTCACAAAAAATATTTATTGCTTGCTCTTAAAATTCAAAAATAAGACATTCTTAGAGGTAGCATAAAACCTTAAAGCCTTGAAAACACAGCTTACTGAAAAAAGTGCATCTTATCATTCTTGAAACAAACATTTGATGCTTAGCATTCAATAAAAATATGAAAAAGTTCAGCCAAATACTTGTGTAGAGCAACTAAAAGAAAACAGTAACCAATGTAAACTTGAAGGCTTTAAGCTAAACAAAGAGTGCTTTTCCAGCAAAAACAGTGGGAGCCATCAGCCTGTCATGGCGTCCTTCCTGAACCAACAGAGTTTAACATTTAAGTTGAAGACACATAGGCCTATATTACTGAAGTCCATTAATTAAAGTGCATCTCTTAAATTCTTCATTCATATAAAAATAACAGTCAAAACTCTGCCACTCACCTTTTTCTTAAACTCAAAATTCAAAAATAAAATTCAAGTAAGAGTGTACAAGAGCAAAACAATGCATTGTGTAGCAAATAAAAAGGTCAACCAGTCATCCTTTCTTTTAGAGTTACTGAAAGAATACAGTAGAAGTCATCTCAGAGGACTTAAAACAACATTGAAGTCACCAACACAGATCAGAGAATCAATCAACAGTTAAACACATTAAGGATATTGAACACATGTTGAAAAATGTCCATATACGGCGGGCATGACAGTGAATAATACATGTAGGGGCTATTACGGGCGCCAATATTCCGTTTGATACAAAGAAAGACAGACTAGTTGTAAGCTGTAGAGTTGCCACAGGACGCGTCATCAGCCTACGTCAGCAGCCGCGGACTGCTATGAAAACATTAGCTTTGTGGTTTCACAGGCGCAGTTGACTGCTTAAACTAAACTTTGCACGAAACTTTGACTCTTAAAACCCACATGTGACAAAACGGAACCATCAACATCTCGCCTCAAATTGCATTAAAAGTGACATTCGTGTCTGAATTCGTTCGTATTTTAACTTTTAAAGAAATTCACGGTCCGCCATCTTGGTTTGCTTCGGCTGCCGTGAGACGCGCATGCGCAGGTTTGCATTACATCATAAACAGCTGAGGCTGTGCATCTCTTCAAGGCAGTGTATCTCAGCGTTACACCGGCTTGCACTTCTCTAACACGGCACTCGCATTGCTACCGCTCGCCGCCATCTTTGTTTTGTGTGTGACGCACCGACGCGCATATAATACGTCGGTGTATTTTTTGCGTCGACGTCACCGATTACGTCGACGCGTTGTCCCAGCCCTAATGTACAGACATACAAGTAAACACATACCGGTCTGTCGCGCTCGTCTGTGTCACGCAGCCCAAAGGATCCTCGCAAATACGCGGCTCCAGTCGAACGATATGGATCATGTTTGTGTTTATGGTCCTTGTCATTAGATCAGCTCAACACATCACTTGTATTTAAATTTTAGCGGAGCCCTGCGAGACGTGGCTCGTCACTCGCTGCTCTGACCATGTGAACGAGCCGTTGTTTGCTTAAAAATGCTCGCAGCACAGAAGAATAGGAATATTAAAAAAGCAGTTCTCTGTGCGCAAAGATGCCAAAGCTGTTGCGGGTTTTGGCGCCGCTGTCTCGGTTCTGATCTATTAGAACGCAGAGCTGCACTTATGGAAAGTACGCTGCTCGAAATGGCTGTTATTTCAAAGAACCTGGGATATTTTAAACTACGCGGTTAACCGGTTTCAACAAGTTACTGAGGCTCGGTGGTCGGTCATGAAAATTCATAGTTTTTTACATCCCTAGTTCTGATGCAGACTCAGGTCCCCTCCTGATGTATACTTACGGTGACAGAGCTGTGCCATTTTGGATTCTGTGGAAACTCAGCCACCAGGACGTCCTCAGTCTGCTTCGTTCCGATCACATGGTACATCAACTTCTGGTTCATGTTGGAGGTCGTCTCGGTGCCTGAAATCCAGCAAGGGTTACATTCGCTACCCTACTGTAGTAGAGTGGAGTAGAGCAGAGCAGGGCAGGGCAGAGCACAGAGCGCATTGGTATCTAAATATTAAGATATACATTTGTCCAAGATTAAAACACTTTGGCAAAGTGCAATAGAATAAGTCTTCCTCACTCACTCTCCTTTTATCCCTCCCCTCTCACCGTCCGTGGGCCCCTCCTGTGGGGGGTAGCTGTTGTAGAAGACTCCCCTCTGGTCGTGGGTCCACTCCAAACAGCTGAACTTGACTCTGTGCAGGAGGTCCGGCAGCGGGAGCAGGTCTCCTGTGGCCTTCATGAAGTGAACTGTGACCCAATCAGAACCACTGCTGCTTAGTCCGTAGGCAAACAGCTCACAGTCCTCCGACAGACGCCCCACTGAGGAGAAGGACAAGATCAACAGCCTCAGTCCTGGGTCTACAGCCTCAGGCCTGGATCTACAGCCTCAGACCTGGGTCTACAGCCTCAGTCCTGGATCTACAGCCTCAGTCCTGGATCTACAGCCTCAGTCCTGGATCTACAGCCTCAGTCCTGGATCTACAGCCTCAGTCCTGGATCTACAGCCTCAGTCCTGGGTCTACAGCCTCAGTCCTGGCTCCTGGACTCACGCTTCAGGGCCACAGTCCCATCCTCAGACAGAGTGTTTGGGTCGAAGAACACGGAGGCCGGAGCATGGAGAGAGTCCTGGACGTACAACACGCTCTGATTTTGAAGCCCTTTGTTGTGGAAGTAAAAGTATCTGCAGAAAAACAGAGATGTTACAAGAATGACTGCATCATGCAGTCAGGTCTCTCTCTGCTCTCCCTCTCCAGTCCCTATCTGGTAACTCTCTGGTATCTGCAGGCCCGTCGGAGGGGATGTGCGACCTGTGCAATCGTGCGTGTGTCGGAGGACACGCGGCTGCGCGCGTGCTGATCTCTTCACGCAACACGCAAGGCGGTGCTGAATTCATGTCATAGATTATAACAGGGAAAACCTTCCTTAGATCTGGGAAACAAGTGCCAGGGCAGGGCCTCGCATTTCAAGTTCGCACAGGGCCTCGCACCCCCCTTGCGACGGGCCTGGGTATCTGAATGAGCAGCAGTACCGGTTTCCTCTCCTGAAGGGGGTGCTGTATTTGGGATAGTCGTAGAGCTCTGTCAGTCGCTCGTGAAACTTCTCTCGGATTTTGCATTTTTCCAGAAACGGCATTGTCAGGTTGTTTTGCGCCTCCACAAAGGCCTGAGATCAGAGAAACAAGAGAAAGGAACCAGACATTAGAGATCCTGAAATCATGGGAAGATTGTTTATTTCCTACATTATCTGACAGTATAGAGCCACAATATAGACATTGTGACTTGGCTCTATAACAGTTTGCTTCTAAAAAGAGTTTAATGTATACCTGACCTCAGCTGCATCTTTAGATCAGCTTCACTCAGCCAATCAGCTCTCAGCTCAAAGAGGCAAATAGAGACTCACAGGGATCTTTCTCACACCAACTAACATGTCTTTTAACATGTCCAGATAAATTCACAGTAATGTGGGGGAATTGAGATACCTGAGAGAGACCAGAGAGAGACAAGAGAGACCAGAGACCAGAAAGAGACAAGAGAGAGTAACTAGAGAAAGACCATTACCAGGGAAACATCAGAGAGAAGCTTCAGAGAGAGACTGAAAACCAGAAAGAGAAGAGAGAGAGACCAGAGAGACACAAACAGACTAATCACGTTGTAAATGTAAATCACAAAAGTTTGCTTCTGAATTGAAATAAAGGTATGGGTGTCATTAAACTGGCCAGTAGGGGGCGAATGAGCAGAGGTGGGACGACTCAGTTTCTCATTCAAAACCATGTAAATCGTGTCCGTTTTGGAGGCTGTCCTCCTGTGAGATGTACGGTTGTTGTAACAGTCTTAATCGGGAGGGGGACAAATATTTCTCAAGAGTCTTTATTTTGGGAATTTTTGGAAAGAAAAACAGAAGAAATTGCTGCGTTTCATTCGGGTGGTCTGCAGGGGGCGCTTATCTGGGAAAGCCTTGATCCACCTCCCCGCTTCATTCAAGTGATTTTTTTCAAAGTGTACTCCTTTTTATGAGCCCACAGTTGGAACACAGAAAAAACTCTTGCCTTTCTCTCCTTTTGTGCGGTTGCTACAACCGTACACTGCACAAAAATATGGCATTTTGACAGCGCTTCTTCTTCTACTATATCTCTATGTATATACCCGGCAGACTGCACCGCCAGGATACGTACGTTTGTTATTCGCGCCACTGCCCTGACGTCATATGAAACCCAAGAATACACACACGGAGCAGCCTGCGTGTGTGTGTATGCTGTATACTGTAAAGAATTGAATCGAGTTGTAGTGTGACCTCTGTATTGTATAAGTTCGGCAACTTCGGCAGGATCACAGGTTTAAATAATTCAACCGTAAAATGTCCTGTGTGTGTTTACATTCGGTCTGCTTGAAATGCTTCTACACTGAAACCTGGTGTGACTGAGGTGAGGCCCACCTTGGTCTCCTCACTCTCGGGGTCTTCCAGCCAAGCGTAAGGGTCACAAATCTTAGTGCCGTGGTAATTATCCACCTGGAGGGAAAAACAAACATTAATATTATTATACTAGAGTTTGTCTTCAGTCATTTTAATTAAAACTCTGTTTCAAATACAATCAAATTGTCTTCAGCCAAATGTGTGTAGTCATCTCCCCCCTCATACGTAATCTGTCATCATTATGACTTCAGTTGTCGTCTGTTCATTGCTATTCACCTGCGGTCATGTTGTCTGTTTCATAGCGTGATAATGGGACCCCTGAACCTGCACGTGTGGACCCCCCCGGCCCAGACTGGGAGCCTCTTCTGTTGTGGATCTAGGGCTTTAACATTTATGGGCAGTGGTCATACCCCGCACCCTTTGTTGGGAATGTTTTCTGAATGTAGTATTAATGTAGGGGGTGGAGTAGGATCCGAGGGAGCAAACCTGTCCTGTTTGTGTTAAATGTGTAAATGTTATTTGTTTGTATTCTATTCTATTATATTGTATTAGGTATTGTGTTTGTTTTTTGTTCATGGGAACTTCTTGAAAATGAGTTGCTGCATCTCAAGGGGCTTTCTCTAAATAAAACCGTTTGAGTCTCTGATCTGTTTTTGGAGAATCCATAACTTTGTAAAGTCCTCTGGGTCGACTGCTGCCGTGGTTTAGGGCAAGAAACATATATTGAACTCTATAATCATAAATTATGATATTAGAGTCATCCTGTGGATTTAATTAAGTATTTTATAAAATAAGTCTAATATCAACTTAATAAATGTTTTTTTTTTTTTTTTACCTCATGTGAATTTCTGGTCACTCTTTCTACTCTCTCTTACTGGTCTCTCCCTCTGGTCTCTCCCTCTGGTCTCTCCCTCTGGTCTCTCCCTCTGGTCTCTCCCTCTGGTCTCTCCCTCTGGTCTCTCCCTCTGGTCTCTTCCTCTGGTCTCTTCCTCTGGTCTCTTCCTCTGGTCACTCTCTCTCTGGTCTCTCTTTGTGTGGTCTCTCCTTCTCTGATCTTTTACTGTGTGGTCTCTCCCTCTCTGGTCTCTCTCTGTGTGGTCTCTCCTTCTCTGGTCTCTACCTCTGTTATCTCTATGTGTGATCTCGCTCTGTGTGTTCTCTCCCTGGTCTCTCCCTCTGGCCTCTCCAACTGCTCTCTCTCTCTCTCTCTCTCTCGTCTCTCTCTCGCTGTGTGTGGTCTCTCCCTCTCTGGTTTCTTCCTCACTGGTCTTTCTCTCTCTCTGGACTCTTTCTCTCTGCTTATTACCACTTATGTTTGTTCACCCAAACCATCATGACACAGACTTTTACCAACATGATACAGCCCAAGCTAATATTACCCAGTGTTAAAACAACATGTCACCATAGTTCTCAATGTAATGTGTCATGCTAACTCCATGCTAATATGCTCGCTCTATGCTAACATGCTAACCAACTGTGTGTTAGTGAGGCACACCTTGCTCTCGTCTCTCCTCGCTGCTGGATACGTGAACTTGGCCATAGTTCAGTCGGTCCCACTTCTTTCAGTTTAATTGAACAGATTCAGACGCGTAGAAAAAGTGTCATTTGTTAACACTGCGAAAAGAAAGTGAAAGTTTGTTTGTACTCCGCGCTGCAGGAGGGGCTTGTGATCCCGGAACTGCTGCGTCACAAGAAACATAATTGTAATGAAATATTTTTATGGAAATTGAAGACTTTGTATATATTGTATGTCAATTTGTGTATAATAAAGAGTAATACTTGATATAAAAGTAGGCTATCTGTATAATAATAATATTACCTTAAAGCCATTTTCACACTGAGCAAAAATGTTTCATGGATGTATGATGTTATGTGGAGATTGTTGCTTAAACCTGCCTCTGCATGGACTAGAGGCTACCTAAGGTACTGTAGTCTAAATCCATATGAACTGTAGGTTCCATCCATGACACTGCAGGCTAAATGCTACTAGACCCGAGGCCATCTGCGGTACTGCAGTCTAACTCCACATAGACTAGAGGCCACTGGCGGTACTAGAGTCTAAATCCACATGAACTAGAGGCTCCACCCGCAGTGCAGCCTAAAGACTAGTGCAGCCATTCCCAAACTCAGTAACACCGAGGCCCCCTTAAAAATCTGACGGGTCTGCGTGGCCCCCCCAAAATAATAACCAAGAAGACAACATTAAGAATAGGCTCTTCTGGTTATTTTATTTTGGGGAAATAGCCTCTGCTACAAACATTGTAATACAAAAATGATTACAGTGGATTATTCAAGTCAAATAATGAACACAAATATTTTAATATTACAAACAAAACATTATAAATTTAACATTAAATAATTATATTATTTTTTTATTTTTTTTATGACCTCCCGCGGCCCCCCTGCAGTACCCTCGCGGCCCACCAGGGGGCCGCGGACCCCACTTTGGGAGACACTGGTCTAGTGTATAGTCGCGCTGTGCTGAGCTTACGGTGGTGATGTGACATCACTTGTGGAACGCAAGGATCACCGCAAGAGCCGTGCATAGCCTGCCGCGCACCCTCGAAAATGTCTAACTAAGCAGCTGGCTCCGCAGATAAGCTCCACAGTGATTGGTCCGTGTGTGTGTTTTGGACGGAAGCATGGAGCGGCTGCAGGGAACATGGACAAGGCACTTCGGAGCAGATAGCTTCATGCTTCGAAGGAACCGAAGGAAAAGTAGTTTGGGTTCATGGCTCAGAGCCTGATATACGCGGAGACTGTGGACTGTTCAGTTCTGTTGCATATCCAACTCAAAACTCAACTTCAACTAAACTGTACAGTCGTTTCTTTTGTACTGTTCCTGTTCCTGCGCCTGTCTTTGTTTGAATTTGCACTTGTAGCTTATCGCGTCTTTTGCATTCCTCCTGTTCTTGTAAATCGTTCATGTTTGGTCTCAGATATTTACCACCTATTGTTTTGCTGCTTGTGCTGAATAAAATTTAATAATGACTATGTTTCAAACAAGAACTGTGTCTTTAATCACAGCATCACAGTTGAAATTACTGAATTTCAACTGTGAATAATTACTGAAATGAAATAATGAGTCCATAGAACTATCACATAAACCTACACTAGATACACATGTAATGATCTCAAACAGCTTGGTTTGCTATTGTTTTGAAGAGGAGAAAGTAGCAGCGTAAATGGGACCTCTTTGGTTTCTCAGGCAACTCCTGTGAGATCGCCATCATGTGGTTGGCTGTGGGATTACAACATTCTCTTCAAAACTCTGCAAGGGGAACGCGCGAACGTACTACCCACTGTGGCTGCGTAGGTCCAGCGCAACCGCAAACGTAACCAGCGCCGCGCAAGTGTGCACTGGGCTTAAATCCACACTTCCTAGAGGCCACCCGCGGTACTGCAGGCTAAATCCACATGGACAAGTGACCACCAGTGGTACTGCAGCCTAAATACACATGTCATGGACTAGAGGGTGTCTAGTCTCTGGTGATTAGATTATCTATATAAAAAGTATTGTACATTATGTAGCATCTTTTTGGGCCAGAATTATTTTAGTTGTGTCGTGGTCTACGCTCGGAAAACACCATGTGGAGAGTCTGCTTCTGGTATTATGGTCTCTGGTCTAAAAACACCATGTGGAGAGTCTGCTTTTGGGATTGTCGCGAAGGGAGAAGAGTTTCAGACAAATAATCTGTGTAATCCACAAATCTGTGAAAACGGCTGGAGAAAAGGAGGGAACGCGGCGAGACAAGGCTCATTTCAAACTCATTAAGTTTAAGGTGATTAAGTGAGATCTCTGTGGAGCTTGTGTAAACGGTTCTATTGTATTTACCTGAAAGACTGAGGCTATCAGCTGTTGTGTTGGGTTCACACATTAACAACACTGCTTTGGGTAGTTCTCATGGAGCCCGTTTTATTCACGTGCTCGTGTTCATACAACACTCCCGGTCCCCCCCTGGTGGCTACTCACTTATAAGAGTATAACAGTATACTGTAACAACACGATTACACCACATCCCCCTTACTGAAGTTACGTTGACACCCAACCTTTTCTGTTACAGTAAACAAAACACATAACTAAATTAAACCTTGTTCAATTGTTATGTCCACTAACTATATCAATTAACTCACATGTACTTATACTTACATGTAGATTTTAACCTTTTATCGGATAAACCTTTGATACAAACATATCCGATTTATATAACCACGCCATTTACAAATTCGAACCTGGCACATCAAATAAAACATCTTTCTGATTTCCAGTATAGATCAAGTCTTTTTGGTTTTCTCACTTCTCTACCAGACCTTGTTTTCAAAACATCCTCTTGTGGTTTTGTCTCAGTAGCAGTCTCTGTAGGAGTGTTCTCACTAGACTGGATCAGCTGCGGTTCTGTATCTGTCTCTGTATTCGGCATAGGAACAAGATGACTGCGGTTCCTTCTGATTGTCCCGTGTGGTCCATTGATGATGTAAGATCTTGGAGTTGGGTGTACAGATGTCACAGTCCCTTGTGCTTTCGTATTTGTGACCCAAACGGCTTGTCCGGGTAACAGTTTGTCCATATCTCTGGTTCTGTGTCTTTCGTTAAAGCATTTCGTTTGTCTCATCCTTCTCTCTTTCTCTATTTGACGAATCTGCTGCAGATCCGGCAAACACGGCTGTAACGCCTCAGGAAGCATAGGCAAAGTAGTGCGCAGCCTACGTCCCATAAGAAGCTGAGCCGGGCTGTAACCATTTGCCAGAGCTGTGGTTCTGTAAGCCAAACGTGCTCTGTATGGATCACTCGCCTTTTTGAGAAGGTTTTTGACTGTTTGGACCGCTCTTTCTGCTTCTCCGTTACTCTGAGGGTACCTGGGACTACTGGTCACATGCTCAAAACAGTACTCATTTGCAAAGTCCTTCATTTCCTGACATGCAAACTGTGGGCCGTTGTCCGTGATCAGAGTCTCTGGTATACCGTGACGTCCAAACATTGATTTTAAATGCACAATAACATTAGCAGAGCGAGTCGGGCTAAGAAGAGCAATTTCTACATACCTAGAGAAATAATCCACTAGTAACAAGTAGTTTTTGTCATTCAAAGTAAACATATCAGCACCTAACTTCTGCCACGGCCTCTCTGGTAAATCCGTGGGCATCAAAGGCTCTCTTACATTAACTCTCTCCTGTATGCATTTCTTACATTTAAAGACGAGCTCACTGATTTGATTACTTAAACCCGGCCACCACACTGCCTGACGTGCACGTTCCCTGCATTTGACTACACCCTGATGACCCTCATGGATCTTATCCAAAACTGCATTTCTCATGTTTGCAGGTATCACTAACCTTGTGCCTTTCAATAGTAAACCATTGTGTACACTCAGAACTGCTCTCTCTGGCCAGTAGTGTTTCACCCCTCCCTGCAGCTGGTTCCTGTCCGGCCAGCCCTCTGTACAGTACCTCATGACTTGTAAGCAGACGCTGTCGGACTGAAGTTGCTCTTGAAGATCTGCAAGATATTTGCTGCTTGTGGGAAGACCTTCCAGCACAGAGTCAACATAAATGTTAGTGTCCTCCATAAGATCTGAGTCTCCTTGAGTAACACCCTGTGTGAGCGGTAACCTTGAGAGTGTGTCGGCTGTAGTGATGTTTTTACCTGGAATGTGCTTTATTGTGTAAGAATACCTCATCAGGCGCATTCGAAACCTCTGTATGCGTGGTGGAAGTGCATCTAAAGCTTGTCCTCCCAGTAGACTCACTAGTGGCTTATGGTCAGTTTCAAGCTCAAAATGTAAACCCAAAATAAAGTCATTGAACCGTTCACAGGCCCAAGTGAGAGCCAGCGCCTCCTTTTCCAGCTGTGCGTAACGCTGCTCTGTGGGGGTCAGTGACCGTGATGCATAAGCAACTGGTGACCACTCCTCTCTCACCTTCTGCAACAAAACCGCTCCTAATCCATAAGATGAAGCGTCTGCAGAGATCTTTTGTGGCTTATTCGGATCGTACAGCTGTAACACTGGAGCTGATGAAAGTTCTCCTTTCAAACTACAAAACGCTTTTTGCTGTTCATGCCCCCAGTACCACATATTTTTGGTAGAAAGCAAGTCTCTCAGAGGTTTGTCCTTTTCAGATAGATTTGGAATAAACTTCCCTAGTTGATTCACCATTCCCAGGAAGCTTCTGAGCTCACTCACATTCTCTGGCTCTTTCATGTCTTGTACAGCTTGAGTTTTCTCTGGATCTGGTCTCATCCCCTCTGATGAGACAATAAATCCCAGGAATTTTACCTCTCTTTTGCAAAATTCACACTTTGACATGTTAAGGGTAACACCAGCCTTTGCTGTACGCTGTAGAACGGCATGCAGCCTTGTGTCATGCTGCTCTACGGTGGATCCCCAGACCAAGACATCATCCATGTGGCACACAACACCGTCCAGACCTGCTGTCACCTCAGTCACCATCATGTTTTGGAAATGCTCAGGTGCACTGGAAATACCAAATGGTAGACGGTTGAAATGGTATCTCCCAAATGGAGTAATGAACGTGGTGAGG